TTTTTTTTGCGGTACGCGGGCCTCTCACTGTCTTGGCCTCTCCCATTGCGGAGCACAGGCTCCGTTGGCACAGGCTCAGCAGCCATGGTTCACGGGCCTAGCCGCTCTGCGGCATGTGGCATCTTCCCGGACTGGGGCACGAACCCATGTCCCCTGCATCAGCAGGCGGACTCTCAACCACTGCACCACCAGGGAAGCCCATACAAGGATATTTTTGACAGCGTTTTTATTACAGTAAGAAAGTCATTGGGAAGGTCCAGGTGTTCATCCGTGGGACATTGGAGTTGGAACTTGGATGCTGCTGAGCCCTCAAGAGAACGAAGGGGCGCCCACATCCCCACCAGGCGCCATCTCCGCACAGCGCTTCTCAAACAAGAGGGACAGACAGCCCGCTTTCTGCATTCAGCTCCAGTCCACTGTGGATGATTCTTTTGTCAAGTACAATAAAAATGTGGCCCTTCCAAATTACTTCAAAGCCCCTGACGTCCTAACGCGTATTCTCACTTTGTGTCCTTTCCTCGCGGGCCTGGACACTGTAAGGACCAGCTCGGCCCACTGACCACACACTGTGTGCCAGCCCAGACGCTTCAGCCTGTGAGAGGAGCAGCCCGCCAAACAGTGTGCTTGGAGCCCCAGGTGAACATACAAAGCGTGTGTGTGCACGCATGCACATACAGGGCGGACTGGAAGGAAGCACATCCAGCACTTTGAGGAGGATAGCGGAGTGAGAAGAGAGGGGTGAAGGGTTTGGGGTTTGCTCTGTGAACTTCTGTGTCACTGGTGGTTTGTAAGAATGTCCAGCACACTCCGTTGGTTCCCTTTTGGGAAGGCCACCCTCCCCCAACACCGTGTGATGGTAGGTTTCTACCCTCCCACATTTGAGGGATAGCACAGGCTGTGAACAAGACTGGTCTGTCTGCATTTTTTTACAAAGATGATTTACCCGGGTCATCAATCATGTGACTGCGATCATTAAGTGGTACAGAATGACCAGCTGTGACAGAAGTATCTTATCATCACTTGACAATATTGAAAATGTGAGACGGTACAGCCAAGGCAGAGCCACACCCACTCTGGCTCCCTCTGGTTTCAGCGCCACCAGGCAGGGTCGACCCCAGGGTACACCTGCCCCTGCCCCAAGGCTTGTCCTCGCCTGTGTGCCTCTGGGAAGGGACCTCATCGCCGCAGGGAGCTAGCAGAGCAGCCCCTTCACTGGCCCTGGCTTCATCTTGCATCCTCCGCGGCCTGGGGTCAGGCTCCTGTGCCAGCCACGTCCCTCCCTCTCAGGTCCGGGCCTTCGGATCCTCATTTACAGACAGGCAGACTCGCGTGGTTGGGCGTGTGGCCCAGAGCTGCCCAGGCGGCCCTTGATTCAGCCCTTCACTCCCCCACCTCTTCTCCAGGCGAGTGGGTGG